CGAAATTGTCGCAAAACGTAATAACTTTTGCCGTATTTGCGTTAAACGTAAATTCGAATATTATTCTTGTTTCAGCTAATCAGGCAAAACCAGTCAGCAGTAAACTTTCCAAGCAAAAACCGAAAACGACCGAAGCATCTCTATCACCGATGAAAATAGACAGGTGTATGGTGATTAATGTGAAAAGGAAACAGACTCCTCATGTACAAAAAATGATGAGCGCGTTCGTGCGATTAGAACGCTCAGCGGATGTAGACAAAATGATGACTAAGGCCACTAAAAATGGAAACAATTTTGGGGCGGGAAATAAAAGTGGTGGTTCCTAACATGAAGATTGTATGAATTTTATGATTAAAATTACCGGTTCAGATAAATCCAGTTCTGAAACAGCGATACAAAATTTCATTTCGTCTAAGAAAATGTGATTTGTTGTTTAATTATTAGAGTAATAATTTAAATTATTTTTAAGTTTCACCGAACGACATTTTTGTAACTTGTTTTGGTTTCTAAATGTGGCGAATGTTACGTTTCAATTTGTTTTAATTGCTTTTGCCATTACCACAGCAAAATAAAATTCAATATTGAAGTACTTATTATTAAAACATTTTTGTTTGTTTGGCATTTGCAGTTTGTACATACGTTTTCCACAGTTTGAAATACACCATTATGAAGCATGTGAGATCAGGTTGATATGCAACGGTTGAAGATAAACCAAATATGCGATGTCAATTTGAATGCTTCATTCACTTTATCATCCGTTCGCGAATGATTTTATCCACGGGTTGCCTCCGTTGTAAGATAAAGTTTGTTATAAAGGTTTACACTACCCCATATTGCCGTAAGCGGTGATATATTAAGTCATAGTTCACGTTAGCTGATAGTAAATATGTATATAGTAATGTATATAGTAATATAAATATGTATATGGTATCGTTCATTGACCGGCGTTCTACGAGCTTTTCTTTTGTGTACACTAAATTTCAAAATTTTGTTAAAGGATCTTGCTCCCAAACCATACTAGCAACAAAACGTGTACATAATTCCGTTGTAACAAATATACTCTGAGGAAGGATATTTAATTTTATATATGCAAACTGTTTTATTTCAAATTTCCAAATACATAAATATGCAACGTAAATATGTATTTTATTCTCTATTGTGTTTTCGATAGCCTGTGGCGCGCTTGTGTACACTTAACCGACTTCTCGTCCGATATTTGAATTAATTGTTCATGATAACAAGCTGCGCTTTTGGATGTTTGGTCGATAAGACGGATTCTCATAATATTGAACTTGAAAAACTCTCAATTAGATAAATAAGTATATTTTTATCATAGAAAGGAGATAACTAAAATATTTATAATGGGTTTAAAACATAATTATATATAACTTTTTCAAAAACAAATACACTGATTTTTACAACATAGAAAATGATCAACCGTTTTACATTCATGATAAACATTAGTTGTTTGTTATCAAACTTCTTAAATGTACCTGATAATATCCTTACATTACTATTTTTACAATGATTTCCTTCGCATTTGGGAAATATCTGAAAAGCTCTGACTAACTTTGAAGAGAAAATGTTAGAAATTATTGTGGAGTTTATACGATCCAGATTGCAAGTAATTTTCTCATTTTCAAAATATCACAAAATTGCATCACCTTTGCAGATATTTCAATCATCTCAAAAATGTTCGAGAATCGATAAAAATTA